CAAAATTTATTATGGTTTATAATGGCAAATGATACTTTGAATATTACATGTTAATAACTTGATTGGAATTATAACCCTGAGTTGACAGTTTGATACTTTGAAAATTTTGAGCCAGCCCTACCCCAAGGGCTGTAGGGTGGGGTCCAAAAGAGTCAGTGTGCTAACATTTCTTCATTTTCCTTGTTTAGAATCAGAGGTGCTAGTTTCAAATACTTTTTAGTCTTAAATCAGTATGCTAGATATTGAATAAGGTGGTTTTATTGTTTTTTGTCACTTTGAATAATATTTCTGTTCATGTTAAAAACCAAATCAACTCTCTGTATAAATATAACAGGTGACCGTTAAGACCTATGGGCCTCTTGTTATGGTTGTAATATCAAATATTTATGCATCTGTAAACACAGCCTTCTGCTGTAAAGAGAAGAAAAAAAGCCTAAACCAAAGTACAATTTTTTTGTACATGTACCCCTGTAAAGTTATTAATACCACCAGATCAATTTATTTCTTGGACAACTTGGCCCAAAGGACCAGAATAGTGTCACAGTGTTAGGTGAATGTGTTTTATTTGAATTAGTTGCAGAGAATAGCGCATTTTAGAAACACATCCTCATGGTTTCCATGTGACCTTGTACAAATAGAAAAACTTCAGTATTAAAAAATCTGTTATTGACAATTAAATGTTTGACAACTTACAAATAATAACAAATGTTACATAAGCATTTTGTCCAATTTACAGAGAGCCCTCACTAATCTGTTAAAATCTCTTTTTTGGAACTAGTATTTTTTATACTGGTAAATATGTTATTATTCTGTAAAAACAACCCACCCAAGAACTGTTTTGCCCATGTCATCAGTAGGCCAAAGAGTTTCTACTATCATTGATTTCACTGAATCCATCTCTTGAAATAATACAGTATAGTCTGTTTAAACAGAATCTTGATCTTTCTGGAAACCTTTATATAAAACCAACCATAAACTAGGATTATTCCTTGTAAATTTAGATTTTATAAATGTTATCACAACTCGATACAAATTGGTTAAACAATAATCTTCACATCTTACAAGTAAACACGTTCTTTGTAAATTATAATTCATTTGAGATGTGACCCTGTGTTTGATTGATCAGTGAAATATGTACATTGTTTAATTAATTCGTGAAACCCAGAATGTTAGTGGTGTGGAAGACCCTGACACATTCTCAAGTTCATTGTTACTGGTAGTTAAATAGTAATGGTTTCAAATAATAGCATGACCCTGAAAGATCATTGTAATTCTGCCCCACTTGGAATGTTACTGATGTCAATAATCCACACCGGAGAGACACAATTTCTGAAAAACACACCAAAATAACCTGTATATTTTTTTTTGTGTGATGTTAGTTTAGCATGAATATGATTGGGGATAACACAGCTGTGTTTTGAAATTTGCGGCCATATATCATTATTATTATAATATACTGTTACAAGGTGACTTTTACTGCAAACGCAGACCTGCATATGGTAATAGAACTTGTGTGACCTGAAAACTATTTGATTATGAACAGAAATGTTGGTCCATTGGTTGAAACACATTTCCCTTCGTGATGTTTTTTTTATTGTCAAGTGTTAATTAACAAGATACTCAAAGTTTGTATAAGTTAAGTTTTGTATAATGATAAGCATTCTGTACAGGTTGTTTTGTATAATCATGATCTCATTGTTATAACAAATAAACGATGTAATTCTCAAGTTACAATGATAAGTTAGATTAAATGTTATTAGGATTTTCAATTTGTTACATTTGTAGATACATACAAACCATGAAATTTTAAACTCTTTTTGTTTTTACTTTTGTTCCGTGTCTTTGCAAAAGTGCACCAACATCATGTCATCATGGAGCAAAAACTTAAAACAATGGGAAACTGAATTTAACTCTTGGTAAAATTGTTTTAAAATGCCAAGAGGTGATAATTTGGTAGAGATAGAGGGTTATGTCCTGTTGTAGGATTAAAATATTTGTAATACATGTATCATTTTAAGATATTTTTTTTTTGGTATAACTTTAAATTAAACTTGAAGAACATTCATTGTATAAGATCTAGACCATGTAGTGATTTACAAGAAGAGAATGTTAATATTAACTATATGCCCAAATTTGATGGTAAAATGTAGCTTGTCTTTGGCCTATACTGTTATTTATGGGGCAAAGAAGTAATTCCAACAGTGTGGACAAGTTTAGCATACCTCCATTAGGATCCAGTGTTATATGGGATTTTACCGTCTATATTACTTCTTTGACCCATACTGTTATTTATAATATACTGAACCTGATGCTGAGTGTAGTTGTGTTACTCACCATTACACTTACAGCAAGGTAGTGCACTTTAGAACCTGATGAACTCACTCTAGTCAATCAAGTACCCTACATCAGAATATTTGCTGCCTTGAACAATTTGTGTCGGAGCTGGACTAAGGTGATCACTGATGACCACCAGGTAGCTATATATAGCTAAGTTGATTAGAGCAGTTAGTCTACAAAATGTACATTTCAGTTAATGGAAGATTTACACCATACCTACCACTATTATATAATAATTCAGTATTATGAAATTATTCTTGTATACATTTTTTCTTATACACCTATTAAAGTGGCCTGAACTAGTACTACCATTCATATTTTAAAAGTATATTTCTTGATCTATAACTCTTTTGCATATAAATAGTTACTCCAGCAGTGTTAGAGGTTAACACAGTGAGATACTTTTGACAGGCGCCATCGGCAAAATCATATCCGATAGAAAAAAGGACGACCAGCGGCCTCTTATGTTATAGGAGTAATAAGTAGCATGTGAATGTAATATAGAATATATCATTAATAAAACTTGAACAAATAATTAAATGGCAAAGTACGTATACAGTGTATTAAAGCATATTGATGTACATTTATAATCCTTATTTTAGCTAAACAATGTTTTTCATTGGCCAGATAAAGGTGAATTAAACAGTTAAATTGTAATTAAATGTACATATGTGTACAACGCTTGTAGTAAATCATTCCTTTAAAAAAAGTTATACATTGATTTTGAAATCATATGTAGACGTGTGCAAAATGGTATGTTTGGTCAGTTTAACTTATGCTTTATTATTCCATTATTGTTGTTGACATATGTGACCCTTCAAATGAAATAAAAAAAGTTTGTGATTCAGCATACAGTATTTCTGGGCTTGATGTGTTCATTATAGTTATAGTGTAGTACAATGATGATGAAAGTATTGTTTATCTTTCTTTAAGGGCTTCCAGTTGACCCTTGACATCAAACAATTTCAGAGGTCCAATCACCTTTCCTCAGAAATCTGAAGGGTCAAAACAGGTCCAATAGACGTATCCTCTCAAACACAAGAGTCAAAGTTCATTTTGAGGATATAAAACATGCTCTCAAGGGTCTACTGGTAGCTGCGTTAGTTTGTTTCAGTTTTATTTGAGTTGCTAAATAATCTATAAATGTGCAAAACTATACTGCAAAATCGGATTTGCTTATGTCTGAGAATTAATTCAAGCACTTGTTTGTGGGTTGTGATTTTATCTCGTCTCAATACACAAAATAACTCCCAGTTGAGCTTTTTCATAGAAAACAATAACATCAAACTCCACAAAATATTTAAAATAAAGTACGATTTATTACACACTTCAAAATATACAATGATACATTAAGTGGTAACAAAATGTCTGAGATGAATTTCCTGTTTGACAAGGTAAGCTGAGAATGAGGACTAGACCACAGCAAATCCTGTAGATCTAATGAATAACAAGCATGATCACATATATAGTACCAATATATATATTACACTTAAAACACTAGGCAGCATTTCACATTAAATAGTTAATAACTAAGAAATGATGAAAACATAAATGTGCATAGAAATCTCAAAATGAGGAAAGCTTTAAGTTTGACAACCGTTATAAACAAATAATGTCATCTTATTTTAATTATTGGAATAAAATGGAAGAACATATTAATGAAAAACAGTATTGAATGGTGACAATGGCACTGTATACATACATACACATGTACTTCTGAGTAGGTGGTTTACAACCTTCAGACAGCAGTCTTATGTTTATAAAACATTTACAATTAACACATTATGTTTATTTAAAAAAAACAATTCCTTCTATCTGTATCTCTATATAACATTTTAAAGTGTACAAATTGTTGTTTTTTCCCTACAAAATGCTTATTTTGAAAATTTTATGATTTTTTTTTACCGATTTATCAGTGTGTTGTACTTAACTATATTACCAGTCGAATAATATTGGCAACCTCATATTATACAAAATATGCTCTAAATTTATTTATTGAAAATGATAATGTAAATGAGAAACTAAACATGTCTTTTCACATTTAAATAAATGTCCGGTAAATGAACTTCATTCAGTCATATATTATCCATAAAATAAATCAGTACAGTATACACAACTGAATTATAGTTACATTTTGTATATTAACTCATTGACCCCTGAAATTTCATAATGCACTATTCCAACCTTTGAATTGGAAGAGTTCAGATGTGTTTTCAGGGGTAAATGAGTTAAATATACCAACATCTGTTATTCCTATAAATAAAACTGAAAGTAATTAAACTTTCAGTAGATTATCAATACTGCAACAGCTTGATAATTGTTGGTATTTTATACTTCTTATCTATAACATATGAAATACCTGTATTACCATTTATTAGCTAAAAAAACGAGGAAAAAGTCCAAACAAAACGGCAGATCTCTTCCAAACATCTGGGATTTATAAGCGAAGAAAAATATTATTCAATATACACAAAAAACGTGTAGAGTTCATTTGAAGCAACTTGTTAAACAAGGCAAATAAAGTGTTACCCGTAGCTAACATATATTGGCACACAGCTAGGTACTGCACGTGTACTAGAAGCTGGACATGTCAGTGATGAATCATTGATGAGGTCAAAGGTGATACCGGGACTGTCCACAGGTAAACAAGTACCGATAATAGAATCTTCCCCTACAGTGAGGGTATGATGGGGAAATCTCAACCCAAAGGATAATGTTTTTGATTGTCTAATCTGAAGCTTGCTTCAAGGCAAAAAGTTAGATTTTTAAGAATCTCATCCAATCACCCAAAGAGGGGAAATGTCTCTCACTGTAGAAGGGAGACCAGGATCCCTTTTCTTCAATCCTATCAGTAATGTGTTCAAAAACTATGGTTATCAACATAGGAAATGAATTTATTTTTCTTCTAAAAATGTACTTGTTTCTCCCATGGAAAACTGATTGTGATGTCACATTTCATTACTCGACCTATAGTGTCATCTATACACAAACTAAGACCATATTTGGAAAGTGCAGGGAAAAGATCTGTGCAAGACCTTCAGCACATGTACTTTCATACACAGGTGGGAGATACAGGTATCTTTCATACACAGGTGGGAGATACAGGTATCTTTCATACACAGGTTGGAGATACAGGTATCTTTCATACGCTTGGGGATGACAAAAGGAATTATATTCAGGGGTGACAGAATTATGAAGAATCACATTAACGAGCAGGAACTTCACACGGCATCACTCCGGAGGTGACAACAATAATAATAATTATTATTATTAATTATATAAAAACAATCAGGGCTTGGCTATTTCTGATGTTTGAGGTTACCTGGGCTGACATTACAATTCTGGTTCTTGAGATACTGTACATGTATAACATGAAATATTCTTGGTTATTAGTTTCGTTGATACTTTGTATAAGAAAAACAGTATTTATGGATATTAATCAAATTTGTTGCATTTATTTTTGTGGCTCCATAGCAAACATGAAAACCATGAATATTTACACACAAGGAATATTTCATGTTATACGGTAATGCAAGCAGTTGGTTTAAATATTTACTTTCTATGATATTTCTCTGTTATTGAAATAATTCTTTTTGACAAAACGGTTTGATAATATAATTAAGTTTAAATTTTTTGGTGAGGAATTAAATAAAAAAGAACAAATAAGTTGTAGGTTATGGAGGTAAACACCAAAATAACCCTAAGTGCACTCTTTTGTAATAACCACAGAATTCATTCCTTAAATGTATCTGATAAATCTGTACACACTATAATTATAGTCGTAACCTATTGAAGTAGAGACAGTACAACCCACAGGGTGAAAATGTCATAGTTGTACCAAGCACAACGTGTCACCTGTCTTAACAGCCTAGATACCGTATTTTACCGCAAATAAGCCGCCCCCCCCCCCCCCCACCCCTCCTGAGAAAAAAGATGGGCCAAAAGTTGGGAGGGGGCTTAATTGCGAGCAACCCCCCTGTTCACAAATGTCCGCCATCTTGGATACACATCACTGTTTTGTTTTGTACATGTATATCAATAAGTATGAACTAAAGGGCTGCAACAATATATGGTACTGTATCATATTGTGATACTTTCTTATGTATCATTTCGAATAATTTTCTTTGCCTGCATTGCGATACACTAACAGTACTAAAATAATCTTTTTTTTTATGGCCCTCTGTGCAAAAGTACTATTATGATAGTATCTTTTGACAGCAATTTACTATACATATATAAATAACCTGACAAATCTGTAAAATCCTGCACTCAATAATTATGAAATTGACCTGTGAGCAGATATGTGTATCGTGATCGTAAGCATTATACCATGATACCCATCGTACCCGGCCGTGAGGTGTGCGTATTGTTGCAGCCCTGGTATAACAAAACTTCTGATCATACCAAAATTACAGTACAACAGTTGGTGTTGGTAACATCATTATGCTTACAACCAGTGCAATGCAAACTGCTAAAATGCCAGTTTCACATGGAGAAATTGGATTGTAAATTTATAATCTAAATTATAAGTTTGTCTTTTTTCATCAGTTTGAAATGCAATTTTCATGAATTAGAAAATAACAGTGAAACAATCTAAAACACAATTCACAACTTTAAACTTTTTACACATATTAACCAGAAACAATATGTAATCCTAATTATTATAACAGAAATACAAAAAACACACCTTGTGTCACAGTATGGTTATAAAATGCTAGTTCAATGTACATACAAATAATTGTACAGCTTTGATTTGTAAGCAAATGGAATGTAAAACTTGAGAAATTGTGGAGGAAAATAAAAATATATCTAGATATATATTTTCGTTGCATTTATAACCGATGTACATATATTAGCTTTTAATCCTTTCAGTAATGGCGGGCCAATTGCATGTGTCTTTAAGAACCAGTGAGCTGATTCTATGTGTCCTCATATTGCAAAAGGGCTGCATGACTCCATGTGATACACATAAATCACACAACTGACAACAGATCACTGATATAAACTCTACAAAAATAGCAACAACATATTACCATAAATCAGTGTAATAGCCCAATCACATTATAGATAATATCTGTGTTTGCCTTTACATTATTAAGTGACTGGTATATCCCATTATTATACAACTGGAGGGTATAATATGGGACAAAATTTACATGGTAAACATTATATGCAGTGTATTGATTATGCTGGCACCATAATGTCACATTTCAGACAGAAATTATATTTGATGATCTAAATATGTGGATATATCAATGTTAACAAAGTAGACACACTTCAACTCATAAATTATGACAGCAATAATAAAGCACACCAACATGTATCATGAGATCTTTGTACCAACAGGTGAACATTGAAATGCAAAAAAATCATATAAACATGTTTATAGCAAGAGATAGAAATCTCCAGATGTTGTTTCACAGATTTCAAAGATTTGAGGACAGACATATTTATACCATGGTAACTAATCAGATTGAATATGTAAACATGTATACATGGTATGTATTGTAAACATGTATTACGTCTATAAATGAAGGCAGGTTCCCAACAAATTCTGCTTATATATTAAAGCACTTCAGGGAAAGATGGTTTACTGTTGTCATTTCAATAGTTTATATAGTTACATCCAAAACCACACAATGATTATGTCAAAAATAGGTGACCAAAATATCTTTGGAAATATGATAATGTCACAATAAACAATACATTAATCCAAAAACAAATTGTTTTGACAGTATGTATGAACCAAAAACAAATAGTTTTGACAGTATGTATGAACAAAAGGCAAAATTGTTTTGACAGTATGTATGAAACAAAAGGCAAAAATGTTTCGGGCTATATATATATTATAGCGGGATGTATACGGTCCCTTGTCCTTCGTTTTCTTTTTCACAAAAAAAATAGTGTCTTTTCATATCAAAAAATAATTCATGTTATCTTTCCTTCATGCTTACATTCTTAAGAGTTTAAAATGAAAAAAATATGAGAGTCTATCGATTTGATATACAGGCCTGTAGTACATGTAAGAACATTGTCTTTAACCTCTACCAGAAAATAAAAAAAGGACTTTTCACTTAATTCCAAAGTGAAATTAAAATTGGATATAAACAATCAGTTAACATGAAATTCATCAATGTTTCTATAACCACTAAAAGCAAGAACTTATTAACTAAACCATTGAAATCCCTTGTACACATATCCATTGTTAAATGCCTTTTTACTTAAATACCCTTTGAATCCCTTGTACACTTGTGAACGATTGCATCTCCTAGTACACTTATAAACGGTGGAAACCTTTTGTACAATCACATAATCTTATTTTCTTTTTTATTCTTAAAAAAATCACTATCTTATAGTATAGGGACATGGATTCACTGAATTTTTGTTTCTTTCCCTTCAGATCTTCAAAGGAAGCAGAAAGTATTGAGAAGCTGCCTCCAGTTCTTATATTACATGTTTATTGTATTTATGTATCGTAAATATATCGAATGTATGAGATTAAAACAATTGCACAAATGCAGAGACAGAAATTCATAATTGGTCAGTTCTTCATTTTACAAACATGTTTTTCCAGAGATAATAAACGTATTTGAGAGACATTAGCTGTGTATGCTGTATTGTGAACATGATATAATTTTTTTTATAATCATGAGGAATTGTAAATTCTAGCATGATGTATTATAGTGAACATGATATAGATTTTGTAGAATTATAAATTCTGGCTTGATGTGTTGTGAACATGATATAGATTTTGTAGAATTACAAAATTCTAGCTTGATGTGTTGTAAACATGATATAGATTTTGTAGGATTATAAATTCTAGCTTGATGTGTTGTGAACATGATATAGATTTTGTAGGATTATAAATTCTAGCATGATTTATTGTGAACATGATATAGATTTTGTAGGATTATAAATTCTAGCTTGATGTGTTGTGAACATGATATAGATTTTGTAGAATTATAAATTCTAGCATGATGCATGATGAACAGGATATAGATTTTGTAGAATTAAAAATTCTTGCATGATTTATTGTGAACATGATATAGATTTTGTAGAATTATAAATTCTAGCATGATGCATGGTGAACGTGATTAACACTTTGTATAATGATAAATTCTAGCATGGAAACGTCATACAGAGGTTTTGCTGACAAGTGCTTTGACAACATAAATAAGGCTGACACAACTAGCTCCACAACCAAACACTATGATGAGTATATCTTTTAAAATCACCCCGTATGATAAATCTTTAGAGCACAACTTTAGATGGAATATACACGGTAGAACAAATGCTAGTGCAGAACTTCCAACAGCTCCTACAATAAAAAGGAAGTTAAATCAGACATTGTAAGGCATACAGGTCCAAAAATGTTCAACTACGGCCGGTATATAATCACATAAGGGATACTACTATTCATGTTTTGAAAGCACATTGGAGTAATTTTACAAATTATATAGGGTGCTATATAAATGTTGTATATTATTACTATTATTTTTATGTCAGTACAATCAATACTGTACTGATTATTGACACAATAGGAACTTAATTCTTTCTTTGAGACTGCTTATATATTATGTGGCTGTCACATGCACATTCACTTCAGTAAAACATGAGGTTCTGATACACAAAGCAGGTTAAAATATTTTCAAAACCTCAAAATGTGTTCCAAATTCCTATTGTACAATACTGTATGTAAAAATGAACAGAGGTGTAAAGTTTTCATGCGGTCAATTAGTTTGGGGATAAGATAACTATCTAATCAGTAGAACTATTTCAAACTGAGGGAATAGTGATGTTGTTCATTTTGTGAAATATGCTGCCTGTTTTGAAGGTAGGAAAAAATTCAAGCTATGGATATACATGTAGTTGTATTCATAAAAACTCAAAGATCATTTCAAAATGCTAAGATGCCAGGAAAGATGTGCCCATTTGCCATGTAAAATTGCAGCAACAATTTCCTGAATAAATGTTAAGCTACAGAACGTACCTTTAACCTCCCAATATAAAGGTGAAGCTTTAGAGTGTATATGTAAACCCTCGAATTTAGGTAAAGCTACAGAACTTACCAGCAAACCCTCTAATTAGGTAAAGCTACAGAACTTACCAGCAAACCCTCTAATTTAGGTAAAGCTACAGAACTTACCAGCAAACCCTCTAATTTAGGTAAAGCTACAGAACTTACCAGCAAACCCTCTAATTATAGGAAAAGCTACAGAACTTACCAACCAACCCTCCAATTATAGGAAAGCTACAGAACTTACCAACCAACCCTCAAATTATAGGAAAGCTACATAACTTACCAGCAAACCCTCCAATTACAAGAAAAGCTACATAACTTACCTGTAAATCCCCCAATGTAAGCAAAGCTGGCCCTGAAAACGACTGCAAGACAGACAGCTGCTCCTACAACTAAAATCCGTACAATGTTCCTCTTCCATGCAGGCACCTGTGAGTAACAAACACCAAACCTTACACAATAGTAACATGACTTTTTACACTTAAGTGTGAATATAACATGTGTTAATCTCTATGTAAAGTACTTATCAGATCTAACTGTCTACATTAAATTCTAACACGATTTGTTTGCATGTGTTTTGATTGGATACGGACCATGTTCTAATCTGCGATTGAATCATGATCAATCTTGTTAAGCTCCTTGCACTTAAGCAACGCCCCGTTTCTAACCAAAGCAAAATGGTGTCAAGCTCGCCTCTTAGCGAAATCCCGCTGATAAGGCTAGCAGGCAACAGAACAGAAGCAACCAATGAAATGTATTTGTTGAATGAATTAAAAAGTACAAAGTAAACATTCCTTGTTTTTACCTCCATTTATTACTGAAACGTTTGTTCCATCCGTGTGAAGGCATCTAGTTAGATCCGAAATCAAATGAAACATTTCACATGTGTTGTATGAATTTACACAAAACTCTTCACAAATAAATAATCACCTATCTTCTCGATATTAGCACAGATTGGTATGCATACTGACATGAAAATGTAAGAATTTGGTCGATATTAATCCAAATGCGTCATATAAACTTTGGTAACATGACGTTCATGAAAAATCCAAATATTCTGCCTTGTCAACATATAAATCGAGTGCTGGCAAGTATGGGCGGGGCCAAATGACCGACTTTTGAAAGCTTCTTTCCTATTGGTCAGTCTGCTGCAGAATGACACATCGCCAGTTCAGGTCACAGAGTACTTTACTATGTACTTTTGTACAAGTAAATGCAATGTTTCTAAACATATTAGCGTAGTTTATTTGTTAAGGTGTGTTAGAATGGGGATAGTACATTGTTTTCCATGTCTATACTGGCGATTAGAACATGGTTTGAACTCGAGACCAATGTAGATCTTCTGTTGACATGACAGTACAATACCATTTGTTATGTGTACTTACAACATCAGGGATGTGTACCGCTACTGTGATGGGCAATTTATCTGCAGCATGTGGCAATAATGATTCTTCTGTATCTTCCTCTTGTAACAGTCGGTCCATTCTACGTCTAGGTCCACATATACTTCCTGAAACCAAACTTTTATTATGACTTTGACTTCCCTAAAATAACACGTGATTTTGGTGAAAAATTTAAATCACCAAAATTCCTACACATCTTGTGTTCTACTCTATTTTAATCTATTCATTATTTTCAAGGGGCTTGTCGGGGGAAAAAAAAAAAAAAAAAAAAATGGGTCTAAATGCGTTCTCTGGCCTTCCAAAAGTTATACCACGGCAATATGATGGTCGAGTTCTGCTTGCAATGTCCAGTTTTGACCACTGAAATTTCTGAGAAGCCCCGCATAAATTTAGCGCAGATCTATTTATATATGTCACGTGGTTGTTTCGAAAGTGAGGCAGTGAAGATAACAACAATAGCACGCCGTCATGTGCCATGTCAGACTCAACTAGCAGACAAGACAGCAATACTATACGTAAATAATTGTTTTCAAAGGTCATGTATGATGCAAGTGTAGTATTCCTACCTATTTGTTGTTGTAATATATAACGGTATTGATACCTCGTGCCTGTCATGACTTTTGCATGCATCTTTTCCTTTCGCCACGATGTTAACATTTGGCCTTGTTAATGCTGCGCGTGCGGTGAAATTACATCACTGATCTGGGTCAATTGAGAGTTTTAGACTGTCAGGTGACAATTTAGGATTTATTTAATATAATTATAATTTTTACTCTTAGCATTTCAGCAAAATTTGTATTGGTATATTTCATAAGAAGGTATTTTAAACATGTGTATGCCATTTTAGCAAATATGACCTTTTTTCCCCGACCAGCCCCTTTAAATAGATCAGCTTGAGCACTTCTTCATATAATTTTAGATTTTATCACATGTTTCTCCCAGATGAAGAATATGACAGGCTGGCCAGTGTAACATCTGCTGTGATCTTGACATTCTAACTTGACTTGATATTCATATCTATGAAGTTTCTATCAAAGAATGTTCAGCAGTGTTATAGTTACATTCTGGATAAGATGTCTGACCTTTCACTTGTTTTTGTGACCTTGATTGTATGGAATGGTGTAATATATTCGACAGATTTGTATCATCAAATCTAAACTTTGCTGTAGCTGTAAAGAAATCTTTGGATGACCGAGTATTGTTTTTAGAACAAGAGGCACAATGGGCCTGCATCGCTTTATTGAACTCCCGAGAGTAATAAAACAAACTTGAGTACCAAAAATAAACAAAGGGCTATAACTCTGTATATAATAGGGCATGACACCAAATTTTGGTACCCATCATTACCAAGAGGTACATTTTCCTCTGGCAGTACTGGAGGAGGAATGAAAAATCAAGTCTGTAATAAATAGTTTCTGTTCTATAATGGCTCTGTACATACAGTAATATAGATAGAAAATATATCATAGGAGCAAATACATGGAAAACAAGAAGTACTCACTTCAGTGGAAAGAAGGGAAAAGAAAGTATTGTTTACTCATGAAGAGTAGTATTCCATTAAAAAGATTAAAAAAGAAGAAAATGTACTTGACAAACCTTCACTGAAGAGGATGATTTCTATCAGTTCAATGACTGGGTAGATCTGTAGAGGGAATGTGAGTAGTACTCCCACACACACACCGACATTGACAGCGAAGGATACCCATTCTGTAGAGGGAATGTTGAGGTTAAGCATTTGCTGCACATCATTACCAAACATGATGTACCCCATAACACCGAACGTGCCGAGGATGAGAGTTAGTACCCCCACTGCCCCATGGAGGAAACTGTTGAAGTTGTGTCTGTTTCCCTCCATACTCGACTCCACTGGTATCACCTGTAAGGGTCAAATTATACATACAGGCTTGCTTGTCATTGTAAATACAACCGAAAGACAGAAGGGTATATGATAGTGATTAGTCACATCACACTGTAACTATGACCATACAATTGGTCTAACACTTATTAAATTTTATCATATGGTGTATGGAATATCAAAAAGAAATGAAACATTCTTACATACATGTTGAAATTTTACAGAAATTTCATGTAGCTAGGAAACTCTTAAAAAAGAAGAATATAATATACTTACAAGTCCTATGCCTTCAAATGCTGCTGTGACCATTCCGAAAAACACAGGCAATCCCGCAAAATTTGCATACATAAAGTCGCCTACACTGAAATCTGAAAAAAAGAAGTTTGATGTACTTTGTGAAGTAGGGAATTAGGGTTTGTATCACGTGGTAAATATAGCTTTCTAGTTTCCCACCCAGAACATAAGGTCAATGGAAAGATTGAATTGGTTTGGATTCTGATAAACACATTTGATCTCTATGACCTTGAAGGTGGTCAATGTCATTTAACTGAACAAATTAGACCTTCTTCTCTGTACGCTATATGAAACTTACCATTCTGGAACTTAAAAAGATTTTTTTTTTATGTTTTCCAAAAACCTGATTTTGTGACTTTGAATACTATTTGATGTCATTTATTTCGACAAACTTAATAGGCATTCCTAGCAACCTGCAGCACACTCTCTTGGTTCTTGGAAGAAATTGTTTGAAAATTATAGCCAAGTTGTCCCCTGTTGCCTTGAATGTGTGTCAAAAGAATTTATATGAACAATGTGATAGCGAGCTACATGCAAAATATGATTACCCTAGGCCTCATATTCTTTAAACATTAATTGTTATTAGATTATAACACATAAGAACCCTATGTGGGCCTTTGTCCTTTTTTTTTTTTCAAGCTTGATAGCCTTTCCATCCAGCAAGCTGTCACATCTCTAGGCCTTCTGGTTTACTAATGGGTCAATTCGAGGATTGAAATGCAATTAACCTGTGACCATGAATGTTTATGGAGGCCAAATCATCCGATTCTTTGCATTGTGGTTATTAAGAGGATTTTTTTAACACATTTTGAATGCGGATCAATGTCACAAAGCCCAAGCAAACTTCAGACAAAATGTAAGCCTTACGGATCACTGGTTCTGCATAGGCTCATATATATAGGCACCTAAATGATAAATTTAGTAATCACTGCATTTACATGTACATAATTTATACTGCTATCAAAATAGATAATTATGTATCAACAGTCCATTATATCACCTGTTTTGGTGGCAGTGTTATTTTTGGTGCTTTTCATGAAAGAATTCAACAGTGAGTTCAACAATGAAACAACATTTCCAGCACCAGGTTTTTTGAAAGATCTAGTTTGAGACTAAGACAAAAAGGGTCAGTTTAAAATATCAGAGCAACCTAATGGGAGGCTTACACATCATAAATATTCTCAGTAGTCAGGTAAATTATGGTCACATAATTTTTGTTTAAAACACAATAAATGTAAGAATAATACACCTGACTGACTGAACTGTTTTCTGGAAAATGTACACTGCGCGAATAATTATGTATTTCCTGATGAAAACATGAAAATAACACTGTAAATATTGAAGTGTAACACTTTCAAAACTCAATAACATCAACAAATACAAAAAGTGATCATCACAGTCTATAAGTAACATGTACTTACTGACAATCATGTAGAGGAAGACCGCTATACATCCCCCCAGTATAGATACATTGGCAACGACACTGATCCAGCTTAAGTTACGTATGCTACGAATCAGAGCAAAGATGAGGAAGAGCGGTAGGGGAGTCAGCACCAAAAGCTTCAGGTCAGGAGCGGTGCTTTTATCCTGACATAGTCGCTTCCATGGTTTTGTGGTGTTTTCTGCTGGTGTTGTGGACATATTCTGTGGTGACACTGTTGGTGCCAATGTGATGTTGGATGGTAATGTACTTGTAGTTAGACTTGATGTGGATAAATTACTCTCTGGAATGGTGAATTTCTTTGTTGTGATTAACTCCATTGTTGTCATATTCAGACCAGTAAACCCTGCGGCACGGACTCCGCCGTTGTGTAGGTGTGGCATTGAGGCCAAGGTTGTAGTGGGTATGGATACAGGGTAGGTAAAGGTACTGTTCACTGTAACATTGTGACAATCCACGAATAGTGGAAACAACTTATGGATTGTGTTCCCAATGAATATGAAGTAGGCAACACAGAAACAGAACTGGGTGGTGCCAATGAAGAGGTTGACGACAAAGAGGCCACTCTTTCCGAAGCTCAGTCTACCGACGTCACCGTATGACATGTGTTTCATCATGTGGTGCTCCAACTTGGCCAAATCATTCACTTCGATGTCCACATTTGGGAGGTCCCTGTCAACGCCATTTGTGTGTGGATGGTCACCGTCACTGTCAGTGGTCTCTCCGTTGAAGCTGTATCCACTGCAGTCGAGGCGGTTGCCGGCCTGGTACCGGTCAGAGCTTTGTGAAAGTTGTCTCTTTACTTTAAACTGACCTAAAATTACTCTCATAGCATGGTACTTGGTCTTGACTATCAGATGACAACAGTGATCAGTGAGACCGGCTATGATTAGGAGAGAGATTACTCCCAGCTGTAACAAAAACAATGTTATACAATGTAGCAAAAGCTATCTATAATTTCTGAGGCTATTAATGATGAGGAGACAGGTTATATGCCCAACATAGCAAAGCATCAAATCAAATACGTTAAATGCTTCTTGCAAATTATTACTGTGTGCAATTTTAACAGTTACAATGAACACAGCCAGGCCCAGGCTACAATAATAATGTCAGACTATGATAAAGCATACATTTTGACTTGCTTTGGATGTAAATATATTGACGATACACTACATAAATTCAATTCATTTTTTTAAGTAATCTTTGCTTTCATCCTTAACCTCAATTTTTGAATGTAATCTTTTTATTTAATCTTTATCCTCAATTTTTGACCTTGACCTTGAGTGTGGATTCTGAAAATAACAATGTATGGCACATCTTTAAGAGACGCATGGTCATAAGTGTATGAAGTTTTATCAAAATATTTCCATCAGCTGAGAAGTTATGCTGTGAATGGAAACTGTTAACAGACAGTGACCTTAATTACTAATTAAAATTTAGGGTTAACCTACAGCCGCTCATGAAATGTTTATGATATTCGACAGAACACCACTGGTTATTTTTTATCTACTGGTTGTACATTGTATCTTAGCATATTATTTTTATGATGCTTACAGTATAACTAACAAGTGTAGCTGGTTATAACTCTGGCAAGGCTAGTCATATCTATATGATGTTATGGGGCTATCATGGCCAGTACTTACTGACTAGCTAAGTAGCAAGTACATTTATCATGATAGCTTATGAATCAAGTAGAAATGTTACTGATGCTATAGTCAACAGTAAAGATGTAACTGGGGTCATTCTACTCACCACCAACCCACTCTGTTTAAATGCAAAGGCCACACCTAGGTAGTTAGAACCAATGAACGCCTTCAGCATATTCGCAAAGTCTCCTAGGTGCATTATCCATCTTGGACCAGTCCTGAAAAAAATATATGTAATTCTATTGAAAACTTACATCATTCAGAAATAGCTAAGTCAATATTTAATTTAATAGTGTACTCTAAATTTATAATCCTTAGTCATAGTTTTAGTTGTAATACATGCACACTGCTGGACATGTATATTATGTATTATCAGTTAAATATACAAGACCAGTATGAATCATCTAATGTTTAATCCATCTCTAGTGATAAAAAGATACCTGTTGATAAAATCTGTAGTTAAGGTTGTACTCCGATTCCTATTAGAGACATGGGTCTTTGACGGCCTTTTTATTACCCTGGAGTAGCCCCCTTTATTACCTCTACAGCTGAGTACTGTGTATTTATTTGATATGTTGTAACAGGCCTATATTTGCACATGTTTGCCATAAACTGACAAACAAACCATACAAATTGATTCTACTTAAGAACTTTGTTGGAAATTTCCATTTCAAATATATTTTTAGATATAGTAATGACAAATTCAATGGGAAAGATTTATGGTGAACAAATAATATTTTATTTAGGCAATAAATTCCTCCCACATATTATTTGGGTTCTCATCGGTTTTTGTAAAAAAACACTGACTTTCACTAGAGCTGTTCATTTCAATCTGAAGTAAAATCTTGTTATAAGCCATATTTTGTCAAGCATCAAACTTTTAAAACATCAAAGTAACTGTCAAAGAAAGAAAGCATTAAGCATGATAGCAAACGAAGCAAGGGGCATTATTATCAAGGTTTTACTGCTCTGGTTTAGACCTCCCACATGATATCAATGATCTTATATATTCAAACTGAGCAAGAAAATATCTATAATGCTATATATATACCACTGCAAACAGAATGTACAGTATTACAAATGTCAATTATCCCTCATACATGTGTACACTATAAAATTGTTAATGTCACCAACATATGCTTATTAGTTGGAAGATTTTGTGAATGTAACTTTGTATTGATTTTCATGGACAGCTCATAAACATATATATATAGTGACATGCTAATTTAAAGATCTATGAAAAATTGTTGGATATTATATAAGGGACATATTTTGAAAATAATATCAAATAAGTATATATATTAAGATATATCAAATAACTCCATCTAATATTTGAAGATAAAAGAAGTCATTCGTTGATTAACTTTCATTGTATAGTTACCAGGGTATACATCAACATCAGTTTCATAACTGTTCACAACAGCACCTTATGAGCAATAGAATGTTAAACATTGTATGTACAGTTAATGTATTAGTGATGTAAATGTATAAACGGATAATTCTGACTTTGTAAAAAAGATCGATCAAATACAGCAAATATGTTGGGATCATTATGTCGTAAATCATAGAAATACTAAACAGTTAGGGGTAGTTTTTAATTTGTATGTTACAAAAGCCTTATGACTAGCCTGACATAAATCTATGTGCACAGTATATGTTATTTAGATATATATGTACACTATAGCTAGAACTGTATACAATGTATGTATTTATACTATAGCTAGAATTGTATACTATGCATGTATTTATACTATAGCTAGAACTGTATACAATGTATGTATTTACACTATAGCTAGAACTGTATACAATATATGTATTTATACTATACATGTAGCTAGAACTGTATACAATGTATGTATTGACATTATAGCTAGAACTGTATACAATGTATGTATTTATACTATAGCTAAGCTGTTAATATTATGAAGTCTATTTGTAGAAAATAAAAAGACATTTTGCAAAAGAAAAAAAAACACTTACATGTTTTTCTGTCCAATTGAAACTGTACTTCCCTATTATAGTATTAAAAACTCTTTATCACAAGCTGATTGAATTTGGAAACATTAACATCAGCAGTAGCATCCCATCATGTCTGACCTAATTACTTGCCTGGTCGGATATAAGTTTAGTCATATATGTAACAACTTCAGGCTGTCAGCTGACATTTAATCATATATATGTATATATACTCAGTAAAAACAAAGTCCATAGCTATCTGTTAACATTGGGAATCAAATGGCGTTGGCTATGGACTGGACAGAATGTCAGTACTGGTGTGGTGACTGTTCAGATAAGACCCTACTTCCTGTATAATATGATGTGTGAGGCATGTAAAGGTCACCACCCAAACAAGGCCAATTGTTAAGAAGCTTATAGGCAAAGTGGCTTATCATCCTCTAAAGGTCAATATCCTTTCAAAATTAAACTTGTCCAAGTACCAACCATTTGTATTAAATAACATGTGTTTGACAAACGTGACTTTATTTGTTATCCAACCCTTTCAAAGGTTTAGATTTTTGTATTTATATCAGTCTGTTATTGCACTGGTAATTCCTTAAATGGACTTTTGTTTAAAATAACTGATATTATATATGCTTAATGTGTAATATTAGCCTTAGTTAACTTAAATCTGTTCAGTTCTTACAAGTAGTTTTAACTGGTGACATGCTTATTCTTTAACTTTAAGCAGCACCTGTCGTCAGTATAATGTGACAGGGCGGAATGCTGTGCTGGGTGCCTTAGGTGTGGTATTTCAGTGAGATAGCATTATAAAGTCGGCATCAGATCTGCGCTATCACAAGGAGGCAAGCACGCCAACATACCCTGTCTCCTGCATACACACACGCAAACACACATACACTACACACATGGAGGCATGTCCTTAAATGACCTTAGCTGTCCATAGGACGTTAAACAACATTAAACCAAACCTGTACAATAATGAAATATGTGCAATTGTGTCATCAGCTGATTTAACACTACTCCAGCATACTAAATATATCAATGACGCATAAATCTTTTTCTTTAACAAGTGGTGTACATGTACCTGGTAGCCTATCACAGTATCCAGGATCCAGATTTGATTTGATTTTCACACAATCAGAGTACAATTTTTAAACATGTTGACAGCTTACATTTTTATATTTACGATTAAACTGTATCTTTGAAGTCAATATTACATCAGTTTCATGCAGAAATCAGTGATGAGTAAAGTAGTATCATTGATCTTTAAATACACAAAGTAACAGTCAACAACAGCTGGCTGGTGCATAGATATCTAATTTAGTATATCCCTGTCCAGTTATGTTATATTTACTATATCCCTGTCGGGTTACATCATCAGTGACTCACTATACAGTTATGTTATAATATCNTTTACTATACCACTACCGGGTTATGTTATATTTATAATATCCCTGATGTCACTGTCCAGTTCTGTTATGTTTACTATATCACTACCGGGTTATGTTATATTTATAATATCCCTGATGTCACTGTCCAGTTCTGTTATGTTTACTTTATCACTACCGGGTTATGTTACATTTATAATATCAGTGATTTAATTTCATTTCAACAAATCATATTCAAGATGGTTCATGAAAAGGATTGAATAAAAGGCTCTGCCTGTATCTGCAGTTCTTTCCTATACCATCAGTGTATTCAGTAACCAGTTATGTTCTATTATCACATCCAGGGCTAGAAATTAATTAAAAAAAACACAAGTCAGTAATGGACTATTAGTTTCCAATTTCACTATTCCATGTGCATATTATACTAACACAATATAGTTCAGCATAACAAAATGAAATGTTATTAGTCTATAGAGCAAGAGATTTTCACAACCATGCACTAGTATAGTCCAGCTGGAGATTTCAGTAGTCTCAGACTATCTGGCAAACATTTCAGCTGTATATTGTCTAGCAATTGCATATCACTATCAGGAAAGGATATTTTTGTTTAAATACCATTTAAAAAAACTTAAAATCCTTTGCTCACCAAAGTTTATTTACATTTAAATATGAGATGCATTATATTTTCATTACCCCTGTGGTCCTGTCAGCCCCTTGGCCCTGACTTGGAAATAATCATATTTTTTCCTTATTCAAAACCCACAGGCCCTATTCTCAAATAGTGAAAAAGAAGCCCTGAAGATTGATAAAACCTACAGTAAAATGTCCTAGGAATTCAAACCATTTGCTCAATTAAGAAAAAGCATGCACAAGGAGGTGGCCATTTTGTATTCAGAACATAATTTATAAGGTATATTGAATTTCAGATGCCACATACTTGCTATCTCTCCCTATTGTAAGGAGGGAGACTCTCAATTTTGGACCCTTAGATTTATCATTTTCAACCAGTGAATTTGCTCAACTATTCCTTTATTTTAAGATCTAATTATTTCATCTGAAAGGACAACTCAAAATATGTCATTTAATGGGTTATTTTGTCTCTATGGGGTATATACACACATCTTGTTTGGGTTTTAATTTTGAGTAGCAAAAATCTCCCACACGAAAATTTCAAAAAGTTGTCCAGTATGGATGCCACAGTACCTAAGAATAGGACATTTTAGTACATTTTTGGTGAAGTTAAAAAAAAGGTGAAGAAAAATACAAAATCAGCAACACAAAGGACAAAAAGATCAAAAACACAGTACAAAGTTCAAACATTAGTCCAAGTGCCAATGATAATGAAATTACAGACTTGTCTTTTTCTGTAAATGCAAATACTGAAATGTATGCTGATGATTCGAGCATTCATTATGCTAACAAAAATCTTGTTAAGGTACAACATGTGCTTCAGTCAGATTTTGAAAATGTAAATACTGTGTGATGGAAACAAAATGATTGTTAATGTTCAAAAAACTAAATGTACGGTTGCTGCATCAAAACAAAAACTGTCCAGAAAAATAGAAATGATGTTAAACTTGATCTTAAGTTTGGTGACATTGAAGTAGAACAGGTTCAAAATGAAAAACTTTTAGGTGTACATCTGAACGATTGTCTGTCCTGGAGCGGTCATATTGAGAAAACTTTGCAACCAGTACAGGGTAGAATCAAGTTTAACAACGTTAACTCATGTGTTTTTCCACATTTCATCTACTGTTGTACTATATGGTCTGGCTGCTCTGCAAATTTTATGGGTAAATTGTCTTAAGCTCAAAAGCAGGCAGCACATGTTATACTTGATGTACCATATGACACATCTTCTTGTGTTATGTTATCAGATCTAAAATGGTTGCTTAATGAGAAAGTTTTTAAATTTTAGAAGCTGTGTATGTTTTACAAATGTTTTCATGGGCATGGTACCAAATTATTTGTGTGATAATATAACACTCCAGATACTCAAATGCAAACAATGTTGTTGTTCCTAAGCACAGAACTACTTTTTACTCAAAACAATCTTCAACATCTGGTACTCAACAATTGATAATTAAATTTTAACAGATTCTCAACATTTTTTTGTCCTGTTGATGTATATTGGCATACCTGTTAGAATGTGTAGTAAAAATTGCATAGCTAAAACACAAAGCAAGTACATACAGGTAAGCTTTTGAAAAAAACTGTGAAAAAGTGATTTCTTATTTCTGAATTACAATACGAAACGATATGTCTGTGTATAGCGATATACCGATTTTTCGATAACTGGTGACGACCCTGATTGATAGGTGAAACATCCCAGGTTGAGTGATACATGAAATAGACAATTTTGTCACATTGTTGTACAGTTAAACAATACAAATTACTCATTCAGTAATAGCTTGACAAAAGGACCGGGTGGCCTTGAAACATTGTGATACTTTAATATGTACATTGTTTGTGTATTCAATTCAATTCAAAATTTGGCAAAAAGGTACAACAACATAACAATAGTGTGTTAAATGTATAAACTAGATTGAGATGTTGTTTGGAAGCACTTTATATTGCGGTTGAGTACTCTTTGGTGCATCTTCTAGCTATAGATTACCTATCTTTGGGAAGACATCAACGCCATATTGAATAGACACACACTTTAGTTATACTAATAGGGAATAACTGTTGACAGTAAAAAATTGCAACGATTGAATTTAACAAATTATTTAATTAAAGTTGTGTAATTAACATGAATTAGACAATAATCTTTAATTTTAGCAACTCAATTGTTTGGTCCACAATGTTATCGACATGCACAATATAAATATGACCAGTAACGGGTGATTTGCTTACATTTGTCTTAAATACATAAACTAAAAGTAATATTTGACTATATAGCTATAAATCTGCCTATATAGCCAGATTTGACAGTGCTCCAGTACCTGTAACGTAATGCATTCAACCATGACAACGTTATCACGTAAAAACATTTCTTTTGGTTAAAATGAAGAATACATATTAAGTTTGAATGAAATTAAACCTTGGACTAACAATCTTCAAAAGAATAATATTATCTTACCGTTCCGTTGTCATGTTTATGTCAGTATGTGTCTTGGCTAAAACGTCTGTGTTTTGACGTCTGAACACCAAACGTAGTGGAACTCTTTTCAAAGGAGATCAAAAGGCTGAAATTTTGTTGGCAAATTATGAAACGGGTAATTTCATTGGTTTACATGTGACATTATGGCCAATCAAAGTTTTTGTAATATATAAGTGACTATTCCTACCGCGATTTTTGAACGAGTGATTCACAGGAACAGGTAAAAGCTTCGTAGTGCTTTAAGATAATTGAGTGTACTAATGTAGAGTCATATATGCATTTGACATTGACAGAAATCAATTTCTAGCTTACAGATAATGTGCGATATCGGCTCTTTGCTATTGTAAAGTTTGCATGGTGGCTTGCAATTGTCTGATTGTATAGGACTCCTATAAAATAAGAGACCGCTGGTCGGCCTTTTTTTCTATCGGATATGCTTTTGCCATAAACCTCTAACACTGTGCCCAACTTGATCAATAGCAATAAGAAAATTTCACGCACAACTGACAGTTGAACTGTCACATTTGCGCTTGATACTCTAAATGACTATGCACTGTAGCAAATGGAAGAACAACAGTCAAAGATGAACATGATTACAAACTCCACAACCACACATTACACCAAGTAGAATCCAGCAAATACGTAGGCTTAACATTACAAAATAACCTACGATGGGACAAACATATTTACAGCAAAATAAGCTCACCACACGTAAAAGAGCACGCATACAAAGCACTAGTCAGGCCAAAACTTGAATACTGCTCTTCCATTTGGGATCCACACCACACAAACCAAATTAAACAAAAAGAAAAAACACAACGAAGAGCAGCACACTACGTAAACAACAGATACCACAACACTAGCTCAGTAACAGATATGATCCACAAACTACAATGGCCAACACTACAAACTCGGTGCTGTCACACAAGAATTATCCTTTTTCACAAAATTGTACACCAAATCGTAGCTATAAACCCAACATATATACTCACACCTGTAGACCCTCGAACCAGACATATATATATACACACCCTCCTGCATACAAACACATATCTGCTACAAAGGACACCTACAAATATTCATTCTTTCCACACACAATAACACAATGGAATCTTCTTCCCATAGCAGTAGTACAATGCACAACACTAGAGGACTTCAAGGCACACTTACCCTATACAGCCCTTGAATCCCTCATCACACGCTAAAACATAAGCCAGCTTTTATGTTTTATCTATACCTTGCACAAAAAAGTCACAAAAAACCAACTAATCAAGTTAAATAGCCCCCTTTTTTTACGCCTCTGCGATAGGACCCCCGAGGGCATAAACATCAGCATTGATGGAGCCCCCGTAAAAAAAAGAAGAAGAAACAATAACTAGCTACATTTGCAGGTCACATTGATCTGTAACTCCACTCATGAAATGATATATTAAAGACAGTTTTTTTCCTTTCATTTCTATGCAGGCCCATGTAGTTGCATGTGCTGTAACATGTATGGTTAAAGCTTGATTAAATTAGCACCAAATCCATTACCTATACGTATACATGCTTTTTCACTGAACAGGAAAGGAGGAAGGTAATTTTGTCTGGCCATTTATTTTTAGACATTATTTGAGTGTCTAAACTCTAAAGTGATCTGAAGGTGACATACAAGGATTTTATATATAAAATGTCTATTAAAATGAATACAATTTCCTTTAGATATGATTACTTAGATGAAGATGTGTATATTATATCGGTGCTACACCGTGAAAACCTGGTAAAGTAAGATTGAGTGAGTTATGACTGATAGGACTACAAAGATTCTTTTATTACTGAATCAATGTAGTTTTATATATGTTGAAAAGCAGTTTCAATGTTTTCTATATATATTATGCATTGCATTATATTTTTGTCCCATATACATATGTACATGTATATATTGTAACTCGTATTCATAGAATCAGTATTTCTTAATTGTTGAAAGAATATTAAACCCCAAACAAACATGTACAAAATTCATAGAATTAAGGTTTTTCAAATACCATAAATATATGATAAATTATATCAATAACAATTTTTTATGGATTGTTTCCAGAATGGATGAGGGGGAAAATTTAACCAGTTTCAATAATTTCCTGAGTATACAGCAGGAGATTGCAGCTATTCTCAGCAACACTGACTGGAATAACACAAAACCTCTTGGGAAGCTTCAGGCAGTTTGGCGAGAGATCAGAACAATCAGGGAATCCCAGCAAGATCAAATCAAGGAACTGATTAAAGGTGGATTTATATACCATATTGTATGTGGATGTACAATGTCATACATGTACATTTTGATTCTAGTTTTATGATTAGAGCCCTGCAAGAGCTAGTGATTGTCTGTCTATTTGTTCATTTTTTGTTTCTATTCAATAACTTGCTAAATCATTAATCGTACAATTCTGATGAAATAGAATCAATTTCACCATAGAAAGGGTGATATTTACTAAAAAAAGCAATAGAAGTATTTATAAATAGGAATTTAAATGGAGAAAACTGAAGATCTATAGTAAAATCTTTGAATTAAAGTCAATCAGGCTTAGTCAAAAATATATTTCTTCTCAACAAATATATTTTTTCATATATGCAGGCAGATTATGAAAAGTTTCCTTGCCAAACATGTACAGTATTTTGATTATTTTCATTGTAATACATATTGAAAACAAATTTCACTGGCCCAGACTTTAAATCTTCTTGCCCCAGGCATTGGTCTAGAGAAAATGTCACCATTTGTCTTACAGATTTTTGCATTATATTTATAAAGAGGTTTTGCGATAAATCAAAGGAAAAGTTTATAGGAATTAAGATTCTGCTTTAAACTTTTTCCTCTGTGTACAGACATTAAGTTATTTTCCTGTTAAATTTACCCAGGGGTATATCCTTTTATTCATACAGTATACAACCAAATTTAAAGGTCGTCACCTTATGGGGGAGTAAAAACATTTTAAAATTCATTCCAGTCATGCTGCTGAAAAGTATTAGCATCTGATGAATGTATCATGACTGGAGCACAGTCAGAGTGGTAAAGCTCTCTGTTTTGTTATCAAGAGGTCCAAGAATTGAAACCCACTGCCAGAGAAGTTTTTATGAAAAAATGCTTTCCTATTTGCAAATATATTAATATTTCTTTCATATTGTATATATGTATCTGAATTCTCTTGGTTCGGCAAGCATTCTGAATCAGAAAAATGCAGGACAAATTGCACAATACAGAATGCTAGAATTTCACCTCTCTACGTTATTAACCATATATTTCATAAAATATTTAACCCTTTCTTTGTACTTGCAATTCTTATCCAACAACTAACAAACAGGAAAGCATTCATGATATGAAGCTATTAAAATTCCTATTTTCAGCATGGCAAACTTATGAGCATGATGTGGCTGGTAAAACAACCTGTGGACAGGATGCTGCACAGATATTGTCACAGGAGGAAGCAGTACAAGGGGAGGTAACCCAAGCCAAACAATCACTCAGTAGAGCTAAGGAAGAATATGAAGATGTCCAACAGAAGATAGAGACAAGTAAGGCTGAGCTTAACCAGCTAGTGCAGGAAAGGGAAGTTGTAGAGAAGCAGACAACCCAGTCACTTCCAAAGGCCAGGTAGCTATATAGTGGAATTCCTCACCATAATGTCCACCCAGTCATTTCTCTCTATTTTATCCAGTCATTCCTCCATATTGCCCAGCTAGGCATTCTCTCTGCAATGTCCACTCAGTGTTCTATTTCCCTTGTTTCTTCCCAGTAATTCTTTCCTTTTGTATGGTCACATTATTTTTCCTTCACACAGCATTCACCTGGTCATTCCTCACTAGTGTCTATACCTAAACTCTTTCCTTCACACAGCATTCACCTGGTCATTCCTCACTAGGGTCTATACCTAAACTCTTTCCTTCACACAGCATTCACCTGGTCATTCTTCACTAGTGTCTATACCTAGACTCTTTCCTTAACACAGCATTCACCTGGTCATTCCTCACAAGTGTCTATACTAGACTCTTTCCTTCACACAGCATTCACTTGGTCATTCCTCACTAGTATCTATACCTAGACTCTTTCCTTCACACAGCATTCACCTGGTCATTCCTCACTAGTGTCTATACCTAGACTCTTTCCTTCACACAGCATTCACCTGGTCATTCCTCACTAGTGTCTATACCTAGACTCTTTCCTTCACACAGCATTCACCTGGTCATTCCTCACTAGTGTCTATACCTAGACTCTTTCCTTCACACAGCATTCACCTGGTCATTCCTCACTAGTGTCTATACCTAGACTCTTTCCTTCACACAGCATTCACCTGGTCATTCCTCACTAGTGTCTATACCTAGACTCTTTCCTTCACACAGCATTCACCTGGTCATTCCTCACTAGTGTCTATACCTAGACTCTTTCCTTCACACAGCATTCACCTGGTCATTCCTCACTAGTGTCTATACCTAGACTCTTTCCTTCACACAGCATTCACCTGGTCATTCCTCACTAGTGTCTATACCTAGACTCTTTCCTTCACACAGCATTCACCTGGTCATTCCTCACTAGTGTCTATACCTAGACTCTTTCCTTCACACAGCATTCACCTGGTCATTCCTCACTAGTGTCTATACCTAGACTCTTTCCTTCACACAGCATTCACCTGGTCATTCCTCACTAGTGTCTATACCTAGACTCTTTCCTTCACACAGCATTCACCTGGTCATTCCTCACTAGTGTCTATACCTAGACTCTTTCCTTCACACAGCATTCACCTGGTCATTCCTCACTAGTGTCTATACCTAGACTCTTTCCTTCACACAGCATTCACCTGGTCATTCCTCACTAGTGTCTATACCTAGACTCTTTCCTTCACACAGCATTCACCTGGTCATTCCTCACTAGTGTCTATACCTAGACTCTTTCCTTCACACAGCATTCACCTGGTCATTCCTCACTAGTGTCTATACCTAGACTCTTTCCTTCACACAGCATTCACCTGGTCATTCCTCACTAGTGTCTATACCTAGACTCTTTCCTTCACACAGCATTCACCTGGTCATTCCTCACTAGTGTCTATACCTAGACTCTTTCCTTCACACAGCATTCACCTGGTCATTCCTCACTAGTGTCTATACCTAGACTCTTTCCTTCACACAGCATTCACCTGGTCATTCCTCACTAGTGTCTATACCTAGACTCTTTCCTTCACACAGCATTCACCTGGTCATTCCTCACTAGTGTCTATACCTAGACTCTTTCCTTCACACAGCATTCACCTGGTCATTCCTCACTAGTGTCTATACCTAGACTCTTTCCTTCACACAGCATTCACCTGGTCATTCCTCACTAGTGTCTATACCTAGACTCTTTCCTTCACACAGCATTCACCTGGTCATTCCTCACTAGTGTCTATACCTAGACTCTTTCCTTCACACAGCATTCACCTGGTCATTCCTCACTAGTGTCTATACCTAGACTCTTTCCTTCACACAGCATTCACCTGGTCATTCCTCACTAGTGTCTATACCTAGACTCTTTCCTTCACACAGCATTCACCTGGTCATTCCTCACTAGTGTCTATACCTAGACTCTTTCCTTCACACAGCATTCACCTGGTCATTCCTCACTAGTGTCTATACCTAGACTCTTTCCTTCACACAGCATTCACCTGGTCATTCCTCACTAGTGTCTATACCTAGACTCTTTCCTTCACACAGCATTCACCTGGTCATTCCTCACTAGTGTCTATACCTAGACTCTTTCCTTCACACAGCATTCACCTGGTCATTCCTCACTAGTGTCTATACCTAGACTCTTTCCTTCACACAGCATTCACCTGGTCATTCCTCACTAGTGTCTATACCTAGACTCTTTCCTTCACACAGCATTCACCTGGTCATTCCTCACTAGTGTCTATACCTAGACTCTTTCCTTCACACAGCATTCACCTGGTCATTCCTCACTAGTGTGTATACCTAGACTCTTTCCTTCACACAACATTCACCTGGTCATTTCTCACTAGTGTCTATACCTAGAAATTCTTTCTACTACCATGGCATGTGTACAATTTCTACTCAGTGTGTACTTTCCATGGTGTCCACCCACTTATTCTGTCCATTTGTATCCACATGGTCATTCCTCTCCAAAGTCCATCTTGTCACCCCTCCCCTTGTGTGTCAACCTTAACTTGTCATTCATAATATGATGTTAGCTGTTGTGAGGACACAAAACCTTTCGAAAAAATGGAGACTTTTGATGACTTTCTATTAAAGATCATTATTATATATTTTTCATGACCTTGACAAACTATTTCCCATATATTTAGTCAATATTGAGAAGGATGAGAAGTGTAAGAAATATCCTGCAGTGAATGATATGAAATCCTCAACTTTTCTGTACTGTTTTCTGACATGACAGCTGGAGATTGCCTATGACCGGTATAATGTATTGTCGTGTCATGATCAGGATATTTGACCTGACACCACAAACGAATATGTCACCTTTGTTTATACATATCATGTTTTTCATTGCAGTGAAGAAATCTCTTTTTCGTCCTACTGATAATTCCCTATATTTCAATGCAGTGAAGATATCACTTTTATCATATGGATAATTATTTTACTGCAGTGAAGATAACACATTACTCAACTGATTAGTTGATTATTATAATCTAATTACTATATATTGATGATTAAAATATGTTGTTTTTCAGATATGATGTGAACCTATATATGAATATAACCAACATACGATGGCAGTTTGACAGTGAACCTGAGGAAGTGAAAGGCTGTATCCTTACATAGAAGTGTTGATAAGAATAGGGATGATGCAACAGGAATTAATTAAGAGAAACTAAGGTTTTCTTTTTCATATTAAGGGTACTAGCCCATATAAGGGTATATTTCAACAAATGATACTAGCCGAACTTATATTTCATAGTAAATACTGAAATTTTCACTAGCCCTTAAATACGTGTACCACATACCTAATTGTCTCTAGTCCGGTAAGATCAGATAACCTATTCTCTCCAGTCGGGTAACAACACATATGCTATAATGTCAAGTAACAATAAATACTTTACAATCTCTTTCCAAGTAACACCACATACCTTTTTCAATCTGGTGCAGTAGATATAACACAACATACATAGTAATCTCTAAAAGTTCAGCTGCACAAATTTGATTCTTAAATGAAAACAGCTCAGCTCAATGTTATATCTCTCTTCAGTACCTCTTTAATTAACATCCCACGTCTTTCTTGTTATTTTGAAGTTACCAAACTGAGAAACTAAAGGATTTTTTCCTGTATAGATATGGAAGATATTATTGCAAAGTGAACAAACTGTCAGAGGAAATAGCAGGTAAATGTGTACATACACAAATATTATTCAATTATAGCCTTTGGCTGAGGTCGATACCTGGATTTATCGACCCGAGAAAAGATATATTGACCGAGGATGCAGTCCGAGATCAATATATCTTTTCTCGGGTCGATAAATCCAGGTATCGACTGAAGTTAAAGGCTACACTTGTTTTATTATTTTCAAAACAGTAATGTTAGCAATCTGAAAAAAAAACAAAAACAAAAATATTACAGTTTAACCAGTGGTTTTAATTGTGTTCTGATATTTTTTTTATTTTTTTTACTGAAATCTTCTATATTAACAACAAAATGTCAATACAGTTGAATGATCAACAGTCAGTATTGTGAAATTATTGATATTGTAATTGATTGTGACATTCTGGTAATTTCTTATAATTGGAGCCATTGGAAAACGCCTCATAGAAGTCTGAAAAGATCTGGTTAAATTCAGAGGAGAGCTAATTTCAGTGGGCATTTGAATTTGTGAAATAATGTCATCTACTCCATCAGTGTCACTCAGCAAGTCATTCATTTAAGTATCTGTTTGCCAGTCAGATAATGCAAAAAGATCCATGTTGTCAAGTTGCATATCTTCAATAGGAGAGCATACACTGGAAGGGCCTTGACGAGGACACACACTGACTGCACTGACTGGGGGGTGCACAATAGTTGATCTTTCTTTTCCTTTGGTCTTCTCACTAATGGTTGCAGACATCAACTTTCTTGTCTTATCATCAGTTCTACTGGAATAGGTTTTAATGGATGATTCGGACCTGTGTCCAGTGACACTCATAATGGGTCGACTTGGTATTTGTGCTGAGTCGAGCACATGCACTGTGGTCGCCCTACATGAATGGTTGGTGTAAATAACTGACAAACCTGCATCTTTGCTAATCATGTTCATGAATGTCCCCAGCTTGTTGTGACCAACAGCTAAATTGTTGTAGTAAATACCATTCTTTGGTTCACTCCTTGGTTGCTGGAAAAGTTTCGGACATTGAGGGTTTAGCCGACGAAGATACTTCATGAAGGATCTCACAGGGCACCTCATACTTTCTGCAAACATAATGTACAAATCTAGGTCAAAGGGTTCGAAATATTAGTTAAAATAATCAATGTAGGTAGACACATGACAACATATTATTGTTTTAAACAATTGAAAATAACTCTAGTTTACACAAATATTGATAAACATAAAAAATAAAACAAAACTACTTTACTTGGTGAAAATATAGATACAGATACTGTACAGTACCTTTGATTTCATAAAATTTGGAGACACGTCATAATTCTATTTTTAGAAACACCCAGTCCTTCAACTAAAATCACGCGCTCCAAGTCAATATCAGTTTTTATCGGTGGACACGTGATGCACTCCTGGCCAATCACTTGTTGAAAATAATATGAAAAAAATAATAATCATTTTTATTTCACATTACAGTATGATTCTGTTAGAATCCTTGACTCTTTTTCAGTTGTTTGCAACAAGAATGATGTGAAACCATTTTCCCTGAACAGCAAACAAGTGTCAAAGTTTTTTATCTCTAATTATTTGTGGGACCTGATAGAAGAAGACTGGTGAATAGCGGGAACTCCATATATTTAACCAGTGGACAGTAGCTGGACACCCAGGGAAGAGGGTCGGGAAAGCTGTCATACAGTACACACTTTATAGCTGGAAATGGTTGAACAGTTGACTGGCAGTCCTGTTATTAGTGCAATACAACAGATGAGCAAAAGATGCTCTAATATTACAGGTTATATGAAGAGTTGGAAGCTGGCAAAACAGATTTAAAAAATGTATTCTGTTGGAATTCATTTCCATTTAAAGCAGTCTATTCAGCATTTATATTAATGGCTCAAGTAATGAGAAATGTTCCCCATCAGTTTCATTACAGATTTTAACCATTTTATTACAAAGGTTAAGAATGACAAAAATCATGTTTCAAGGTTCCAAGGTGAATGCTGAAATTGTTGGCTATTTATAGAAAATCAACCAATTCAGTGACATCACCTTAGCAACTTAATTTCTTAACAGGATTTGATCAAACTTTACACAAAGGTCAGTTATGAGCCCCAGCATACCTGCATCTTTTGCATTAAGAGAGGTAGTTTTGGGGACTAGGTACCAGTCTCCTTTACAATTTGCACTTGTTATTATATTGTTTATGAACATAAATTTATATGATGTATCTCTCTTTGTAAGTTTCTTATCAATAATCATACGCAATTCAAACATACCTTGTGTATGTAGGTATTTTATACATGTAAAAAAACATGTTAATCTTGATTATATGTTATTAGATACTTTGTATTGTCTGGAGGAGTTTGTGATACAATGTCACAGAGCTTGTATCGATTGATACCAGACTTTTTGATGTTATGATAATAAAAATGTAACCTTTGTACTTAAGTTTATAATCCTTTTGTGTGTGTATGTGTGTGTGTGTGTGTGTGTGTGTGTGACATAGACGGACCTTATCAGTGGTGTTTACTGTTTAGGAAGGACAACAGTTCAAGTGTTTCCTCCCCTTTACATCATTAAAGGACAACAGTTAACATAATGAGACACCTTTTGTATCAGGGAAGGACAACAGTTAACATAATGAGACACCTTTTGTATCAGGGAAGGACAACAGTTAACATAATGAGACACCTGTTGTATTAGGGAAGGACAACAGTTAACATAATGAGACACCTTTTGTATTAGGGAAGGACAACAGTTAACATAATGAGACGCCTTTTGTATTAGGGAAGGTTAACATAATGAGACACCTGTTGTATTGGGGAAGGACAACAGTTAACATAATGAGACACCTTTTGTATTAGGGAAGGACAACAGTTAACATAATGAGACGCCTTTTGTATTAGGGAAGGACAACAGTTAACATAATGAGACACCTGTTGTATAAGGGAAGGACAACAGTTAACATAATGAGACACCTTTTGTATAAGGGAAGGACAACAATTACTGTTGTCATTGTCAAACAGACGTTTAGATTCGTGTTGGACAAGAACAATTGACATGGTCAGACATACCTATAAACTGGTGATTAGGAAGGAGATTACTATTACACCGTACTTTGACTGTTTACCTGTTAGTTGATAATCCAACATGTAGCCACAGAAACTCTTCCAGACATATGAACGGTTGCCATTTAGTGATCTAAAAAGTAATTATCCCATAGATAATTCATATTCGAATTTTAGCTTCACCCTAGAAGCTTAGAACGTATCCAATATGTTAATGTTTCAGTGATTACAGATATTCCAATCTTTACTGCAGAAAAAAGATTCATAAAGACTCCATTTATCGAAAAAAATGTCCAAACATTAGGGATTCTGTATGGATACGGAGGAGGGGGCTGAATCAAAGTAGCTGCATTAACGTTCTCAATACAAGGTTCGATGCTGAAACTCCAAAACTACACGTATTAATTACATATCGCAAAATGAAAAATTATTGGTGTCAGATTCGCGGCTAAAGCACACCAATAATGATATTCCGTCTTTGCGTATTGCAGAGTTATCTTCTCTTGAGAGCAGGTATTGATTGTTACGTCATTGGTTCGTGTGCGAAAATTACGTCGTTTTCTCAAAAATTGATGACGTTGCTCTCACAAACAAATGACGTAACAATCAATACCTGCTCTCAATAGAAGATAACTCTGCAATACGCGAAGACGGAATATGTACACTTAGAACCACATACAGCAGTTTTTATGTAACGGGATATAAAATATACGAATATAATATGTTCATTTTCGCATTTTCTTGCTTCTGTCTTTCTAACAGTACATTACGGTACAAGGGTGCCGATCAAGTAGAAGAGTATTGTACAAGCATCAGCCGACAGACAGTTAATGGCCTAATCCCAAAGAACCGAACCTAGCATATACTATAAATACACTCGTTGACTAAGGTCACACACGTAGACATTAAAGTCCAATCAGTGATTAGGAAATAGCATCCTGATAGTATCTACGGATACTGCTGATTGACTCCGGTGGTACACAAGAACTCGGTTACAAGCTTTAATTGTACATCAAAGAAACTCGGACTCCAGATAACGTATAATAATTCTAGCTCAGGGGGCCGTGATAAGGTTTACTGACAAGTTGTAATCTGCATAATTCTCCAGTCAAATTTAAGTGTTTCCTCCCCTTTACATCATTAAAAAGTCTTTGAATAACATGAGGATATTGCATGTGTTTGTATAGATTCCAGTCACTTTGCAGGTAAAGATGATAATAAGACTGATTTCCTTTGCTAAAAGTCCACTGGTAGACCTTATATCTGACAGTTTACGCCCGTAACGACAAGTCCACTGGTAGACCGGGTATAGGACAGCCTACGCCCGTAACGACATGTCCACTGGTAGACCGGGTACAGGACAGCCTACACCTGTAACGACAAGTTCACTGGTAGACCGAGTACAGGACAGCCTACACCTGTAACGACAAGTCTACTGGTAGACCGGGTATAGGACACCCGTAACGACATATCCACTGGTAGACCGACTATAGGACAGTCTACGTCTGTAACGACGAGTCAACTGGTAGACATAGTATCTGACAGTCTACGCCCGTAACGACAAGTCTACTGGTAGACCGGGTATAGGACAGCCTACGCCCGTAAAGACAAGTCCACTGGTAGACCATGTATAGGACTGCCTACGCCCGTAACGACAAGTCTACTGGTAGACCGAGTATAGGACAGCCTACATCCGTAACAAGTGTACTGGTAGACCGAGTATAGGACAGCCTACATCCGTAACAAGTCTACTGGTAGACCGGGTATAGGACAGCCTACGCCCGTAAAGACAAGTCCACTGGTAGACCATGTATAGGACTGCCTACGCACGTAACGACAAGTCTACTGGTAGACCGAGTATAGGACAGCCTACATCCGTAACAAGTCTACTGGTAGACTGAGTATAGGACAGCCTACATCCGTAACAAGTCTACTGGTAGACCGGGTATAGGACAGCCTACGCCCGTAACGACAAGTCCACTGGTAGACCGAGTATAGGACTGCCTACGCACGTAACGACAAGTCTACTGGTAGACCGAGTATAGGACAGCCTACATCCGTAACAAGTCTACTGGTAGACCGAGTATAGGACAGCCTACATCCGTAACAAGTCTACTGGTAGACCGGGTATAGGACAGCCTACGCCCGTAACGACAAGTCCACTGGTAGACCGAGTATAGGACTGCCTACGCACGTAACGACAAGTCTACTGGTAGACCGAGTATAGGACAGCCTACGTCCGTAACAAGTCTACTGGTAGACCGAGTATAGGACAGCCTACATCCGTAACAAGTCTACTGGTAGACCGAGTATAGGACAGCCTACGCCCGTAACGACAAGTCCACTGGTAGACCGAGTATAGGACAGCCTACGCCCGTAACGACAAGTCTACTGGTAGACCGAGTATAGGACAGCCTACGCCCGTAACGACAAGTCCACTGGTAGACCGAGTATAGGACAGCCTACGCCCGTAACGACAAGTCCACTGGTAGACCGAGTATAGGACAGCCTACGCCCGTAACGACAAGTCCACTGGTAGACCGAGTATAGGACAGCCTACGCCCGTAACGACAAGTCCACTGGTAGACCGAGTATAGGACAGCCTACGCCCGTAACGACAAGTCCACTGGTAGACCGAGTATAGGACAGCCTACGCCCGTAACGACAAGTCCACTGGTAGACCGAGTATAGGACAGCCTACGCCCGTAACGACAAGTCTACTGGTAGACCGGATATAGAACAGCCTACGCCCGTAACGACAAGTCTACTGGTAGACCGAGTATAGGACAGCCTACGCCCGTAACGACAAGTCCACTGGTAGACCGAGTATAGGACAGCTTACGAACGTAACGACAGGTCTACTGGTAGACCGAGTATAGGACAGCCTACGCCCGTAACGACAAGTCCACTGGTAGACCGAGTATAGGACAGACTACGCCCGTAACGACAAGTCCACTGGTAGACCGAGTATAGGACAGCCTACGCCCGTAACGACAAGTCTACTGGTAGACCGAGTATAGGATAGCCTACGCCCGTAACGACAAGACTACTGGTAGACCGAGTATACATGTAGGACAGCCTACGTCCGTAACGACAAGACTACTGGTAGATCGAGTATAGGGCAGCCTACACTCGTTACGACATGTCCACTGGTAGACCGGGTATAAGACAGTCTACGTCCGTTACGACAAGTCCACTAATAAACCAAGTCTCGGACATTTTGCGTCCATAATGAAAAGTCCACAGGTATTCCATCACTAGGCGATATATGTATACCATCACTAGGCGGTATATGTATACCATCGCTAGGCGATATATGTATACCATCACAAGGCGATATATGTAAACCATCTCTAGGCGGTATATGTATACCATCACTAGGCGGTACATGTTTACCATCCCTAGGCGGTACATGTATACCATCACTAGGCGATGTATGTATACCATCACTAGGCGGTACATGTATACCATCGCTAGGCGATATATGTATACCATCACTAGGCGGTACATGTATACCATCACTAGGCGATATATGTATACCATCACGAGGCGGTACATGTTTACCATCCCTAGGCTGTACATGTCTACCATCACTAGGCGATATATGTATACCATCACTAGGCGGTACATGTTTACCATCCCTAGGCTGTACATGTATACCATCACTAGGCGATATATGTATACCATCACTAGGCGGTACATGTTTACCATCCCTAGGCTGTACATGTGTACCATCACTAGGCGATATATGTATACCATCACTAGGCGGTACATGTATACCATCACTAGGCGGTATATGTATATCATCACTAGGCGGTATATGTATACCATCACTAGGGGGTATGTGTATACCATCACTAGGCGGTATATGTATACCATCACTAGGCGGTATATGTATACCATCACTAGGCGGTATATGTATACCATCACTAGGCGGTATATGTATACCATCACTAGGCGGTATATGTATACCATCACTAGGCGGTATATGTATACCATCACTAGGCGGTATATGTATACCATCACTAGGCGGTATATGTATACCATCACTAGGCGGTATATGTATACCATCACTAGGCGGTATATGTATACCATCACTAGGCGGTATATGTATACCATCACTAGGCGGTATATGTATACCATCACTAGGCGGTATATGTATACCATCACTAGGCGGTATATGTATACCATCACTAGGCGGTATATGTATACCATCACTAGGCGGTATATGTATACCATCACTAGGCGGTATATGTATACCATCACTAGGCGGTATATGTATACCATCACTAGGCGGTATATGTATACCATCACTAGGCGGTATATGTATACCATCACTAGGCGGTATATGTATACCATCACTAGGCGGTATATGTATACCATCACTAGGCGGTATATGTATACCATCACTAGGCGGTATATGTATACCATCACTAGGCGGTATATGTATACCATCACTAGGCGGTATATGTATACCATCACTAGGCGGTATATGTATACCATCACTAGGCGGTATATGTATACCATCACTAGGCGGTATATGTATACCATCACTAGGCGGTATATGTATACCATCACTAGGCGGTATATGTATACCATCACTAGGCGGTATATGTATACCATCACTAGGGGGTATGTGGGACAAAGAAGTAATTCCAACAGTGTGGACAAGTTATGGTTGTCAAATTTGTACATATACGTCATATTACAACAGTGTGGACAAGTTAAGGTTGTCAAATTTGTACATATACATCATATTACAAGAAGATAGAATTGATATACTATAATTGAAAATATAGCTGTTATATAAAACCAATAGTCCCCTCGGCTAAAGGCAGCCGAAGGAAGCAATTAAGCTGAGAGCATTGCGGACAAAGAACGCTGTAGTCTAAATATCAGAACGCTCGCTTGCTCTGCTCTATAGCGAAATTGCACTAAGACGACTAGTCGCGCAATGAAACACAACGACGACCCGCCAAATGATAACCAAAATCGAAGAAGAATCCCTCTAGAAAACTCTTTAACTACTAATTATAGGTAGAGGACCTATTCTTGCGCAAGATGCACTATCACATAAAGTGAGTCAACGAGAGACAAGCACCAGAAAGAAGGGACGAGATATCAAAAACGTGGAACATGTGCACGTGGGAATCAATCTGGCCGGGTAAATGTGAAAAATCTCAATTATCTACGGACTGCCCTAATTAACGCTGCAGTGGATTTAACAGTCACAGCAGGGGGGTTCAAACTTAGTCGCCTCTTTCGGTTTGCAGGAATAATGACATCACTAGGCGATATATATGTATACCATCACTAACCGGTACATGTATACCATCGCTAGGCGGTACATGTAAACCATCACTAGGCGGTACATGTTTACCATCACTAGGCGGTACATGCATGTTTACCATCACTAGGCGGTGCATGTCTATATAAACAGCTATAGGCAAAGTCAGGTTGTCAGATTCAACTGTACGTCTATATAACCAGCTTTAGGCAAAGTCAGGTTGTCAGATAAAACTGTACGTCTATATAACCAGCTTTAGGCAAAGTCAGGTTGTCAGATAAAACTGTACGTGTATATAACCAGCTATAGGCAAAGTCAGGTTGTCAGATAAAACTGTACGTCTATATAGCCAGCTATAGGCAAAACCAGGTTCAGGGCATTATCTCTTGGACATGTCTCCCAAAAAAGTTGTGTCAGGGGTAGGAAATACTAACTGGAATATCATGTTTCGTTCGCGGTGACCTTATAAAGTTACCAAATACACTAAAAGGTTGTGATGTCAGCAAACTGAAGCTTGTGTGAAAACCCCCAGTGATTAAGTACATGTAGATATATAATTGTTAGGACTAAGATAAGCAGAGATACAGGTAGAGTACAGAGTAAAGGTAGCTGTGTACATACCGCCCCTACAGCTCTATACCCGTCTGACCTTACTGGTGTATTATGACTGACGGACGGGGTAAAGTTCGAAGGCTACACTCACCACACGCTGGTTTGGTTTTGCGGACGGAACATCGGTAAGTACCAACAGTAGCTTGTGTTCGTGTGACTTATACTATTATTAATATATTTCTCACACAAACTCTGGCGATTGCTACCGTCCTACGATTAAGTTATGGGGTAGTGGTCCCATGGTGGGCCGTGTCGAATTTAGGGCAAGCATGTACCAGTGTGTCCCAGTGTTATAGATTTGAGACTGCTCTATACGGAGATAATGGGTGACTGGTCTACAGAGAATACATAATCATGGTAATGTGTATTACTCCACTGTCACAAGGACTTTTATGTGCCGCTACTAATGCACATGGCGTCGGTGTTGATATCTAGAGCATTCATCGTATGTAATAATTTCAATGTGTAATGCACGATTTTTCTACATAAGGTGTTACGCTGTCTTATCAGATATCAGACTTGATTAC